CCCCAAAACCCCAAAACCCCAAAACCCCAAAACCCCTAAATAGCAACTGAGAATTGAATTATTAGATGAAAATTACTTGCAAACCTAGCGAACCCGACACCATTGAGAAAATAATCCATGACTCTGAAGACGGAGGAATTGGAATTATTACTCAAAACCGTTCCCGTACCCCTTCTAGCAAGATTGAGAATATATGGGGTAGAAATAGATCTGTTCTCGTATCAGCATTATCAGACGTTGACTACAAACTGCAAAATCAGCAGAGATCCAACTGGAGCTGGGATGAAGAATGAGGAACGAAGAGATCAAATATTTATAAAAGCTGAGGTTCAATCTTGAAGGAATCGAAACTAGCAAACATTTCTGACTCTAAACAAGAGTCTAACATAGATCATTACGTCAGTGTCTTCCCCAAAGAATCAGAATTTAAAAGGTACCAATTTTATGAAGGAAAAAGCAAATTATGGTGAAGAGGCGTCTATATGACTGGCCCTAAGCCTCAAGCTATACTGATGACTCTGTGTTTGATAAACCTTCCAATGATAATATACTATGGTTTCGTTCTACCAAAAATAAACAGTACATTCTCTTTATTTTGGATAGTTATCTTGTCAACTGTCGTACATCTTATGTCGATGTATTGAATGTTCAAAACATGAACTTCGAACCCAGGAATCATTCCTAAAATGGAGCAAGATCCCTCACTGCTATATAAAATCACCCAGGCAAGGCCCACTAAGTATAGCTTTAGGATGAACTACATGGGGACCTTGGTTAAGCATGTCCACTGTAATAACTGAGTTGTGGTTGGACCTCCCAGAACTCGTCACTGATATTTTTGTGGAAACTGTGTTGAGCTCTTTGACCACCACTGTCCTTGGCTAAGTTGCTGTGTTGGCAAACGAAACTACACCTACTTCCTTGTCTTTATATCCACTCTTTCGGCCTTGTTTATCCTCAGTATGATTGTTAGTGCTTTTGTGCTACTAAGTTCTGACGACTTTGTTCCGAACATCCCATGCATATTTGTAATCGTCTACAACATCTTAGTGGGAGCTTTTCCAGTCGGCCTGACCATCTATCACTACTTCTTAGTTATTAGTGGAGAAACCACTTACGAAAATCTGAAGAGACTATATAAGAGGGAGAAGAATCCATTCAAAAAGAGTTTGATTCATAACTTAAGAACCAGATTATGAAACACTATGGGTAATTATTCTGAAATATCTCTAGGCACCAATAAAATGAGGCAGAAGTGCAACATGTTCGATCACAAAACCGTAAGCCCAACTCCAGATATGCAGACTCTTGATAACATGCGCAATACCGGAAAGCTGGCCCAAGGTACGTTTAGACTCGTTGATTTTACTAATCTAAAACCCTATTTTTCCAAACCCTGACTTTATAGATATAGAAGGAAAGAGAGACAGAAGGCACTCTAACTCAGATACTTTGAATATGGCCTCAAAGGAGTCATAGGCTAAGTTATCCTACGACCTTATTTATAATTCCTAATTTTAGAAATAGTTGTTTCAATCGTACAAATCAGGCCTGGGGTTTTGGGGTTTTGGGGTTTTGGGGTTTTGGGG